ACCTCATACAAATTTGATCATTCTCAATGAAAAAGGGTGTCTCAATATGTAAAAAACAAAAAACAAAAGTCAACTACTGCGAGATGTTTCGCTTCCACATAAGAGCAAAGACCAGCATTTTTCACCATCAGCAACATGCACATTTTTTTGCACAAAACACTTCCTATTTCATAAAAAGTGAAAAATGTACAAAAAATGCACTTAACTCTGATAATCCCACTTAGAAGGGACATTTTGAAATGCTGAAAAACTCATGAAAATTAGCATACCTGTAAAGTAAAATAAGAAAAGATTTACATATCTATTCTCAAATACTGTGCCATTTTATTCTGTCTTGTCTGGGGGAGGGGGATTAAAGCTTTCTTTCCATTCAATTTCAATTGTTTTTCAATGTTCTGAAGGCTGACTTTTCCTACTTGTCAGTAATGAGTACTTAACAATCCCAAAGGAGAAATTTTTCCCTAAGATACAGCTTTTAACTGCTTCTGCTCAACTTCTTTTCTTTATTCGTATCAGAGCTTTGCACAACTTAAAATTATGGATGTATATGAAATATAGGTAAAATGAAAACAAATTAAAATGTTAAGATGATTAGACTATTTTTTAACAGAAGCTGACTGCTTCAATAGTGTTATCTTGGTCGTTTGCTAGATCTCCTTTGTACACATGGTCGGGCATAAATTGCATGCACTTAAATGCTGAATTGATCGTATTTCTCCACATTCACAGAAAATTTGTTTTGTATCTAAGTAGCTCCATTTTACTTGATTATTCGTTGATCTTCCTATTTTGCTTCAAAGTCTATTAAGTGACTTCCAGGTGGTTCAGCTAGAGTCCTGTCCTAGTGGGACACATTCTTCAGCATTCATCCATTCAACAAGGGGTGTTGTTTTAGTTTTCCATAGTTTTAGCCTAGCCTCTTCTGGTTTAATATTTAGAACATGAGCTATGTGCAGAAAATTTTTATTTGATTTTAGCTGTAATCTAAGGGGTTGGTATCTGTGAAATGGATGGGGTTGGTGCTGTTTTACCTTATTATGTCCATTATTTGTCTGCAACCCCTGACATACTTCTGAAATGACAATGCCCATCAAATAATAGACTTTTTCAATGGGGGGTCGGTTTCAGGTTGCTCAACTAGACTCATGAGGCAAAACACAGATGTATGCACCCTTTGGCATATGCAGTGGGTTTTGACAGTAGAAAGGATATCAGACAAACCCTTTGCTGAGTGACACAGTGCTATTTCAAATACAGTAGAAGGGAGTATCCATGCTAGGTTGATGTATTGCCGTAGTGCTGTGCCACTAGTAAATTACTGAAAAAAGGGAAGTCAACAGCAGCCTATGGAATGACAATTATGATAAAAGGTGGGGAAATATTCAGGGGAGGAGGCACCAATAATCAAAAGGGGGAGAAATTGGAATGATCTGAAGTGCTGTCTGGATCCTTTTCATGAGAGAAGAAACACCTCCCATGTGAAAGGAAGGATTGCTCAAGTTTGAGATAAAACACATTACACCAAACATAAGCTTTTAAAATGTGACCCAGATGACTCCAAATCCTACTTCAGTGAGACAGCTCCACGATAAGATAGGCCAGAGAGTAGAGGCTGCAGGAGCTGCTGCCCCTGTGTAAGAACTCTTCCACGTGGTGAACCACTGAACTGAAGGACACTGTTCGGGAACTGCCTTCAAGCCTTGTATTGACTTTGTACACCCAGAATGGTCATTGAATTGTCTGGGACAGGAAAGATTATAAGCAGGCTCCCAATTTAGCCTTGCCTGAGCAACAGGGCTACACATTGGGAAAATGGCCCTGTATGTTTGGCCATTTTGCTTATTTTTTGTAGTTTTGTTCCTAATTTCTCCTTCAGCCTTGAGTTGTTCTTCAGTCTCACTTTTGGCTTGCTCCTCTGTGAGGGTTTGACTGTTGGCTCCAAATTCAATTCAAAGAAATCAGTAGATCGTTGTTATTTCAAAACAGGTGTGGAATTTATTGGTGCATTAAACAATAAATGAGTGTCTGGAACATGATTATGAGTCCTTTCTCCTTCTGCCAATGGGTCCAGAAGGGGCTTCCATTTGTCAAACAGGAACGAGTTTCTATAAGTGTTGTCCCATGGTCCAAGGAGATCAGCGGGGACTCAGTCCTTTACGGTCTGCCTCATTGTGCCTCCCAGCAGGGGCACGGTCTCCTTGTCCAGATCGTCATACCACAGGATCCATCCATTGGGGTCTCTGTACTCCCAGGATCCTCCCTTTAGCTCCTTCTCTTCATCTCTGTTATTCTCCATTCCAATCTTTCCTTTTTCTCTCTGCTCATTCCTTTTCCTCTCTCTCAGTCTCATTCTCCACTCCCTCACCTCTGTTTCCCCGCAATAAGAGGGTCTAGGGGGGATCTGTAATGTTCTCCTATAATCTGCCTCCTCTTTTGGCACTCTCAATCTCTCCCATAATCCAGTCCAAGGATCCTTCATCCACACCCATTCCCAACTGGGCGGTAACTGCTCTTTCCTCCTCTCTACTCCCCCCCGTCCCAGCTGCAAACTCCACCCTCCTTTTTCTCTCTCTCTTCCCGCCTTTTCTCCTTGAACCTCCCCTATCATCACTTTCTGTATGTCTTCTGTCAGCTCCTCTATTACTGTCTCCTGCTGAGGTTCCACTGTAGGTTCTGATACAGGTTTGGGGTCCACTTCCTTAGTTTCGTTGTTGAGGAGGGGCAGCTCTCCAGTGAGTGTGATATCTATCCCTCTCGCCCTCTGTCTCACATCCTCAGCTCTCCTTTCCAGTTTGTCTTTCAGTTCTCACTTATTCTTTGATCCTGACTGATGGCTAATTCCATAGTTTCCCTTAATTTGCTGTTGACAGTCTAACCCAGGCCAGAAAGTTAGGACAGACTGCAACAAGAGGATCTAAAAATTGCAAACTTTTAAGTTTCAATTATGAAATATAGTCCTAAACCAAATTAATTAAACCACTGGCTTTTAAAGCCACTGAACACTAGTTGTTGAAGGGAAATGTTGAGATTGCTGGGAATGAAGTTAGTGGTGCACATCATAAGGTGTGGATCCTTTCATCCTAATTGCCTTCTCCTGTATATTACAGAAAGGGGAAGGCAGAAGTACAATACTTTCCCCTCTTCAATCTGAAGCATTGTGTTTGTAGGTTAGATTGGTTGTTTCCTGCCATGATCTCTTCATACACAGGACGTTCATAATTTAGTGCTGCTGGAGAAATTCAGAATTATTTGTTCCTTCTAAGAATACTCTGATTCTAACTTGTACATTCCTAAAGCTCTTAATAACATTATTCATAATAACTCAGGCTCAATTAGGCTCTAGAAACTAATTCTGCCAGTTCTGCTTCTTTGAATGCAGCCACACCTCACGCTTTCCCACACCCATTCCTGTGATTGGGTTTTTCATCTGGGAGTCCTTTGCTTTCTTAAGTTATTATCCTTTTCATGCTGCTTTACTGTTTGTCAAAATGAGAACTAATTGAAGTGCAGCCTTATTTTCACTGAACAGTAAAGCTCCAGTCTAGAGGCATTCCCCACATTCCTCAAATTTTTTTTTATCCATCCCTTAGTTACTGTTTAGGATTGCATTGTTTGCAATATTTGACCCTGTGATTCTATCAGTCTCCATATGCACTTTGGGATTCTTATTCTTTTTAAAGCAAAAGATCAGAGCTTTTCCAGTTGAGAGAAGTGGAGCAGTGGCTTTTCCTGTTAATGCAGGAACAGTTCCAGCTCCCCTCCCTGTAATGAATGAGGGAGGTGTAGCTCTAATATGGACAATAATTGTGTTGTGAGGAGTCATGCTGTGAGGCTTCCACAAATGCTAAGCCTATTTTTTAGAAATGAAAATAAAATAAAATATATGGTGGGACAACACTGTAGGAGGGGAATTTATTCTTTTTCCCACCCTCATAATATAAAGTCTACTTGAGCAGTTCTAGTACGGTAACATGCATTACTGTTCCTTTATGGTGACTGTCAGAAGCTAATGACACAGAAAACACTTCAAACTTCTCAATGTTGTATAGTCAGAGAAAGCAGTGGAATTTTTGTTTCAATTCTGATATGACCCTTGTACAGGCATCTAGAAGAATTGGATTTTTTTTTCCTGTAGGCTGATGGCATGGACACTAGCCAATAAATATCAGTGACATCTATGCAAGTCTAGTAATCATATAGCCCAAACTTTAACAATATGCCAAAGTATATATGTTTTTATGTGTGTGTTTGATGGCCGCAAACCCATGTTTTAAATGTGAGCCATCAGCACATAGCAGTACAGTAAGGGATAACAGACAGAGATTTTAGTGGGGAAAGAACAGACAGGAAGTAGATTGTAAATCTCCCTTAGTACATACACGCCCAGCTCTTCGTCTTGCAACTTCTTCTTCCAGTTACCTTTCTCTGAGCTGCAACTGGGAACTGGAAATAAGCCAGGCTTGGTGGGTGGGGAAACAGTTGTGTGGAGATTTGTGTGGTTGCTGGTGAGTGGAAAGCAATGACCTTTTTCTTCAGCCTGCTGGTCTTCACTGTTTTACTGCTTTTTAACTGTCCAAATGTGCTATCATTATACAGTATATCTTCCCTAAGAAGACTAACAGTGCTGCTAAGCCTTTCCGTTAGAACAAATCTGGACAGACTGCCTTCAGAAATCCACTGTTGCTCTTCTAGTAGCAATCCCAAACCCCCATCTTGAGAGCTGTTACTCTGTTAATGAATCATCTGTTCAAACTGAGCTGTATTTGCTTCCTTGGTGGGAAACAAAATGTCTCTTCTGAAATCACATCATTCACTTTAGTTCTCATTTTAGCTTTTTGTAGCACCATCAGTGCCAACGCAATTCACCTAATCAATCATGCAGTTGTGTACTACTTACTACAAGGACATTTGTGTGCTGCCAAATCCTACAACTGTTTTTAGCAGGATGAACGCTGCCACAGGTTGATGAGCAGCCTGGTGACTGACTCATTTTGTGAAAGCTCTGACAGGTGTCATCAAGCTGATGGCCATCTAGTATCTGAAGTCCCTCAAATTGTAACCTGAATCAGGAGATGGAAGGCTGTGAAGTCAACATAGAGCAACCGCCACAGGCAGCCAGCTGCTGGTAAAAGGTAAAGGTTCCCCTTGACAATTTTTGTCCAGTTGTGTTCGACTCTAGGGGGAGGTGCTCATCCCCGTTTCCAAGCCATAGAGCCAGCGTTTTGTCCGAAGACAATCTTCCGTGGTCACATGGCCAGTGCGACTTAGACACAGAACGCTGTTACCTTCCCACCAAGGTGGTGCCTATTTATCTACTTGCATTTGCATGCTTTCGAACCGCTAGGTGGGCGGGAGCTGGGACAAGTGACGGGCGCTCACTCCGTCACGTGGATTCGATCTTACGACTGCTTGGTCTTCTGACCCTGCAGCACAGGCTTCTGCGATTTAGCGCGCAGTGCCACCACATCCCCGCCAGCTGCTGGTACTACACTATAAAAGTAAACTCTGCAGTGGCTTCAACAAATTCCTGCTTCTTCAACATGGTTGCGGGAAACAAAGCTGAGACTCACACATTCAGTACTTTCAAAGCAGAAATTACTACTAAGGAGAATTCCTGGAGTTCAATGAAAAAGCCAGAACTCTACTTGCAAGGCATAGGCTCAGTTCACACCTCACACCAGATTTACTAAGGAAGCTTTTCTAGGAGTCGGTGTGGTGTCTGAACTAACGATGTGTGATTTATGATCAGCATACAAACCAAAATCAGAAACCATAGTTTGATGTGGTTGTGGGATGAATAGTTCATGCTGGCTACTGCCCCCTTTTCTGTTGCTGTAAGTCAGCTGTTGTATAGCCAGGATCTGGCCTCTGCTCCACATGGAACTGTTCTGTCTCTAGGTATGAATATAAGCTGGGCTGCTGAGAGCACCTTGGCTAGTCAGTGTATCTAAGAGGAGAAAAATTGCCTTCTATTCTAGGAGAAGAGGGTGTATGCCTGCTATTTCCTGTTGCCTGTTCTTTCTCTGGAGAACTGTGCAGTCTTCCCCTCAGGGAGTTGCAGGACCAGACCCCTTCTGCTGCTGCTGTGCGGCAGCTACTCCACAGCCAGGAATTGCCCTCTTCCCCACCTGTAGCTGCTCCACCTCTGGAGAAAGGAATATTGGCCCACAACAGTTGGGGATAACTATTAAAGAGGTAACATCAAAAGGGCCATCCCTTTGGAGCAGCCACTAGGGCTGTCCCCCCTGTTTAGAAGAGTTAAGGAGGAAAGGTTCAATTTTACTGCTGTTCTACTAGGCCAGGAAGATATATATATCTGGGGGAGTGTGGGGGTCAATATTCAAATAATTACCGACAGGGGCAATACCAACATGACTGCTACAAAGGAGGGCAGGCTGTTGGATGCAGTGTAAACAAAGAAGTCATAGTAGCAATGAAAATAGACCTTCTAGCCTAAAAACCCTCCTTGCTAGTGTCAGGCCAGTTGGAGGAAAATAAACATCCAAAATTTGAAAGTACAGTACTGGCTTGGTTTGTTTCGCAAATATTTGTTCAGAGAAGGTGGTTACTCTCTCTTGCTCAACTCTGTCCTCCAATCTACTCTGTCAAGCTAGGGCTGGAGGGTGGGGACATAGCATGGCTGCCGTCTGTAAAACTAAGTCTTGCTAACTAGGTGCTCCATCCAGTGTTGAGGAAATTTTGAATGTATGTTGCTGAGGGTAAGTAGCCAGGTCATTGATGGGATTCTGTTGGTGTGTCATCCACCCTGCTGTCCAATGGTCTTCCTTTCTGAGCTCTGGGTGGTTTCTGGTGTTTTGGTGGACTACTCCAGGCTTATTTGTCTGGGGTACTTCAATGTTTATGCTGATGTTCCTCTGTCAGAGGTTCCTCAGGATTTCATGTCAGCGATAAAACTATTCTAATAGCAGCTTGCCTTGTGCATGTGGCAGGACTTACTTTGGGTCTCATATTAATTGCACTATAAATTAGAAAGAGAAAACATGCCTTTCACTACCTTAAAGAAAACCTTAGAGAAGGTTGAAGGTTGTCATCCATTTAAAGGTAACTCTCTCAAACTGAAATGTGGAGTTCAGTTTTAACAGTTCTTCTTGGCAGAGTCAGCTCATTGCAAGTATCCTAGTGAGTGAAGGATAGTAGTAGTCAAGAATCATGTCAATGCATGATTTTTCAACCTCACAATACAGCTAATTTCAATCAGTTTTGTAACTTTGAAAAACACCAATTTGAAGTGATACTTGGGCCTACCAAATAAAACTACCAGATTCTTCATTGATGAACATTTTGCACTTGGTGTGTCAACAAACTGTTTTGTCCTTTGTTTCTAATTCTGAAACAGGAAGATCTGATGGCTTTTATAAAGGTTCCCTGTCTGCGTCTGTGTTATTAAACAATCAGATCTGTTGCCATGGCAATGGAAAAACTGGAAGAGATGGAGATAAACCATGGGAAATCAGCCAATGGCCTCAAGAAAGGTAGTTCACCACAGGAAATATCATGCATGGACTTGATCTATGACGATGAGGCTGAAACCTCTGACCACGTGACTGAGCAGGAGCCACAGACAGGCTACATTCCTATTCGAAGAAATTCCAGGTACTATCGCTCCATCAGACGTCGGAACAGAGAGAGAACACAGAGTGATAAAGAAATACAAACTAAACATGCTGAAGGTAAGTTATTTCCTAAGTAGTTACTCTTTCATTGTGCCCGTTGAGACTGGAAGTTATAAGTACAACAAAGCAAGGAAGTGGTGAACAGGTTTTGCAGGAATAAAAGTGATAATACCTAAGGCTTTAAAATTTCAGTGCCTGCCTCCACACATCTGCTGGATATCAACAGTCAGCAAGCCTAAAATTTCAAAAAGAAAAGAGTTAAAAAGGTGAGATGTGGTGCCATTTCACTTATAGTGAAAAACAATTGGTGAGACCTAGAAGAACAGAAGGAATGAACAGCAAGTACAAGGACAGTATTTTATACAAATGAAGGACTCCACTGGAACAAGGGACACATTAACAGCACAATGCTAGACATGTTTACTCAGAGGCAACCCCTTTAAATGCAGTGGGATTCTGTTTCTAGCACATATGTTTAGAACTCCAACCTCAAGAATTAATAGAACAATTGTCAAACTCATTTGAATAAGAGAAGCAAATGGCACTGGGTTGTTTTTTGTTTTTGTTTTTGCTATCATACAGAAGAGGAATATTATACGGGTTGTTTTTTTGTTTGTTTGTTTGTTTTCTATCATACAGAAGAGGAATATTCACTCATATATGGGAAATTTCAACTGTTTCAAATCCTTCACATATATTGTCTTAATAATGATGCTGGCCCCATCAAGATTATGTTTTAATTCCAGTTAAGAACCATCATTTCCCTTGTTAACAAAGACATAATTTACCCCATGAAGTGGCAGTATTTTTTCTTTCCCAAACTCTCCTATGCTGTCTTGAAATACAAGGCCCATTCTCTCCTGCAATATGTCACACACAAGGAAGGTGCTTTTCCTTCTCCAAGGTCATAGACAGACTGCATAAGCTTGCAAGAAGCTACTTAATATTCTGCTCTAGTGAGCAATATAGTCTGTGGACAAAACGAGCAATTCAGTATGCCAAAGCAAGTGTCTTCTCTACACTGCCAATGCAGTCTGCAGCCAGACTAACATACATACGTTTTTGCTTACTGAATCACCTGTGCTCAAGAGAGTCACTGCACCAAAGCTAGTGCAGATGAGGAGATACAGTACCTGACCTATTGGTACAGCACAGAATCACAAGATTCGTCATGAAAAACATCCCAGTTTGTTGGAGTCCTAACAGAAGAATCTATCTGGAGAAAGTTTGTTTTCCTGCAGGTTAAAACTTGAATCTGTACAGCCTAGCAAGTTCTTCTGTTGTACATATTTTCTGTTATTTCATTGCTGAAGTGACACTTGCTCATCTATGGAGCTCGAAGAGAAATCTGTGTCTTCTCCATAACATGACTTTCTTAAGATTATTATTTCAACCCTCTACCTGAGCTAATGTGTATTCAAACAACAAGGAAGGAACTATCTTCAGCCTTCAAAATTCAAAATTTGTCAGCAAATGGGGGCAGTCTGAAGTGCAAGGACAAAAAGCATGGGTGAGTTTCTTATCTTTTATTTTATAATCTGAGATCACAAGGTTATGATTTGCTTATAAAGCTGAACTAATGTATCTTATTTTGTGTATTTAGAGCAGCAACTGGTATCCTGGGGACCTTCAATAGCCATTTTATATTTCATTAAACCTACCTCATTTCAGGGTGGAAGCCATGTTTTCTAGCAGAATGGGTTGATTCAGAGTTGCATAATGATGCCAAGTAATTTATACTCCATTCAACCCTTCTTCCTAGCTAGTTTGTAATAAGAAGACAAAAAGACCAAGAAGAGGAGCATGGATAATCAGTTGCTGGTTGAACTGTGTCCTAACTTCAAGGTCAATTGTCTTAAATATCCAGTGACACACTGACTCTAAATTTACACTTCTGCCAGCAGAAGGCAGGCAGGTGGGCCTCTCCCAACCATTGATTACTATGATGAAATAAATAAATTAGAGAGAATAAAGCAGCATAGTTGATACAATTTGTTTAGTGAATGAATAATTGTATTACTTGGAAGGAACTCCTTACCATTAAATCTATCACAAATATATCTACAGTAGTTGGTTCCCATGACTTTAGAACAACCACATTTAGAGTAGCAACCTCTGGAGTCAATAGGATGATTTCCCAGATAAGAATTATAGCACTTACTCTTGTTATGAAACTTTATCTGTTGGAGAAGACATGAAGACTGTGTGCAACAAATGAGAGACAAATGCATATTAACTGCAAAATAAATTGATTGTACAGACAATGACCCTTACATATGAAATACCTGAATACATCATTTCCTTTCCCACATTCTAACAAAGATCCATAAATGTGATTCAGATGCAAAGATTTTAATGGAAAGGAAGAAATATTTTATTACATAAAGAATTCTGTCATTCAATTCCTGGAAGAAAAACTCAAAGCATGGGAAGAAGGTATAAATAACCTTGATTCCTTTACTCTCAATGACAAACTTAAAAGTTCCAATAATTTAAGGACTATATTTTCATAGAAAAAAGTGGCAACCACATAATTCTCTATATATTGTGTGCTCACTAATATTTTTGTGCCAAGAGCTGTATTAGATTTTTCCATTGGAAATAACTTCTCACCTTTTTTTTTCTTAATTGCCATCACTTGTAAAACAATTTACCTATCAACTTTTCCTTCTTATTCCAAAGGTTCACTAAGAAATGGTATTACTAGAAATGAACTTCTGACCAAAGATGAACTGTTACGCATATTCCACAAGGGTCTGTCTCTTCATGTAAAACCAGATATGACAGCAACAGAAGAGCAATGGTTTCAAAGGTAAGAAAGAAAGCAATATTCCATTTTTTTGGTAAGATACAGAAAATGAAAAGCATTAAAAGTAAAATTAGGTTTGCATACAAATATAATTAATTCATTATAGGGACGTGGTGGCGCTGTGGGTTAAACCACAGAAGCCTCTGTGCTGCAAGGTCAGAAGACCAGCAGTCGTAAGATCAAATCCATGTGACGGAGTGAGCTCCTATCGCTTGTCCCAGCTCCTGCCAACTTAACAGTTCAAAAGCATGTAAATGCAAGTAGATAAATAGGTACCACCTCGGTGGGAAGGTAACGACGTTCCAAGTCTAGTCGCGCTGGCCATGTGATCACGGAAACTGTCTACAGACAAACGCTGGCTCTATGGCTTGGAAACGGAGATGAGCACCATCCCCTAGAGTTGGACACAACTGGACTAAAGGTCAAGGGGAACCTTTACCTTTATAATGAATTCAGTAAATAATGTCTGTCCAGCTGTATTCCACTAACTGACTGCCATAATGTATTCCGTTTTTATTTCCAGTTCCTTCACTTTCCCCCCCCCCCAAAAAAAAACAGCCACTGGAACAATTCAGTTCAGTTTTAGTCATTTAACAGATGGCCATAATGACTTCCAATACATTTGAAGTATTGGCCACATGGAAGCCAATTACTTATTTTAATTCATACCATTACATATATAAATTATTTTGCTGAAATTAGAATAAAGCTACAAATATGCAAAGAAACATGAACTACTTTTACACTTAGCAGTATTTTTTGAAAAATAATTTTTTAAACTATACTTGGTAAAAGTATTTCTTTCACTCAAAGACAAGGAAGGTAATGCCTTTATTAGACCACTATAATCTCTCACACAGAGGCTAGCCTTCAACTCTATGTGCGAAATTTTAGTGGTCTAATAAAGGTATCGTTCACCTTTGTCTCCGGGATTGTGTACAAGGATCATGTGCCTTGTTTTTCATCTCCTCTCCACCTTACAACAGTGGGCAACAAAACCAAGGGTGGGGTAATTTTCAGTTCGATTAACATCTAATTTAATAGAAATAAGGTTTCCTATACAATCTGCCTCTGCTAATGAAAATAAAACTGCCTGGAAGTTTTCCACTGCAAATTTTGGTCTTGAGGATAGCTTATCTGACTTAAGCAGATGTTCTAACCTATACTTTTACTTTGCATAACAGAAAAAGGGTTTTATTCAACTAATAATGCAAGACTGGTTTTAGACTTAAAACATCACAAATACCTCAATTACCCTTTAAAAATAACTTACGAACATGCAAAGTACTCTATAACTTCTACTCTCTTTGGTATTTTAACTAAAAGGAAAAGTATTAATTTTTTGAAGGTAAGTCGAAAAGAAATAGTAAAAATAGAAACCAGTTAGCTTTTAAACACACATTAAAGTAAATGCTAATCCTTATGCTAAATGGGGACCCCAGTAGACACAGTGTCTCTCTATTGCAATGGCCAGATTTTGTTATATTTTTGTAGCTTTTTTAAACCTAAATGTCCTTCACTTTTATTGCTTTTAGTTCATTTCTCTATCCTTATTTTTTTTATCCTTAAAATCTAAGGGTATGTCCAGATGGGGAAACGCTTGCACTTTAAAAGTTCTTTTATATAGTGCAATCTGTTTTATCTTGCACTTCAGAGATCTGCCTGCACTGGAGATGTTTCTTCTCATGTGAGAAGGATCCAGACAGGTCTTTCGATAGCTCCAATTTTTCACCCTATCAATAATTGACATTCTCTTTCCTGCCAACTTTCTCTGCCTTTTGTCACCCACCAACTGCAGTGACTTCCCGCCTTTCAAAAGTTTTCTTCCCAACACATCAGTGCTGCTTCAGATGCAATACAAGTGTTGAAGGGCACCTCCTTTTTATCTTGAATTGCACTACATCATTTCGGGAAACTTTTTTTAAAAAAGTTAGAAAAGACGAAAATAAAGGAAGAAGTTTCTCCATTGTCCCTTTTAATGTCACAACCCACTGCGTAAGTCATAAGGGTTTTCACCCCACAGAGTGCCACCCACATCTCTATCTGGGAGTGGTTTAATCAACCACATCAGCTATACAACAGGATAACCAGGAGCTCCTCAAATGGCACCACATTACCTGCAGTCCTAGCACTGTGCCAGAAAGGAACAGGATAGGTCACTCTTATTCAAAACAGGTAGCGTCCATAATTTGATTCCAACTAAACCACACCACAAGCGAACCAAGTAGCAAGCTATATGCCCATCTGAACATGCTCTAAGATTCAGAAATCAGTAGAAATGTAGTTCCTTTTCTACAGGACATGAAAATAGATGGAAGTAATGGAGTCTCTGCATTTGGATCTCCCTCAGGGTATGGGCACAAGGTTGCTGTAAATATGGGAGGAATTAAAGGTATCCATTTGTCCCATTTGTACATTCATTGCGAGTGAATCTAGAGATTTTGGGGTACAATACTGTTGATACCTTTCCTTTTGTTGTAAGTCACTAAATCCTGTCAGCTTTGAATCATCTGTTAAGTAATGGAAAGAAGGGAGGACTCTATATATTGTTTCCACTGCAGGATCAGGCTTTCTATCTTTCCCAATATTTATTTGAATCCAATTATCAAAGCTAACTATTCATTTAGAACATACTTAGCAGTACAAGATTGAAACAATTCCTTTGCTAGCAAACTAGATCAAAGGATTAAGCCTAAAGTTGTAGTACCAACATTAGGCAAAAATTGAACACATTCAACCCACCAAGTATATACGACCTGAACAAATAAAAAACATAGTCTGAAGATCTATTGATTTTTGTCGTTGTTTAGTCGTTCAGTTGTGTCCGACTCTTCGTGACTCCATGGACCAGAGCACGCAAGGCCCTCCTGTCCTCCACTGCCCCCCGGAGTTGTGTCAAATTCATATTGTTTGCTTTGATGACACTGTCCAACATCTCATCCTCTGTCGTCCCCTTCTCCTCTTGCCTTCACACTTTCCCAACATCAAGGTCTTTTCCAAGGAGTCTTCTTTTCTCATGAAATGGCCAAAGTATTGGAGCCTCAGCTTCAGAATCTGTCCTTCCAGTGAGCACTCAGAGTTGATTTCCTTCAAAATAGATAGGTTTGTTCTCCTTGCAGTCCAGAGGACTCTCAAGAGTCTCCTCCAGCCCCACAATTGAAAAGCATCAATTCTTCAGTGGTCGACCTTCTTTGTGGTCCACCTCTCACTTCCATACATTGCTACTGGAAAAACCATAGCTTTCACTATGCAGCCTTTTGTCGTTAAGTTGATGTCTCTGCTTTTTAAGATGCTATCAAGGTTTGTCATAGCTTTCCTCCCAAGAAGCAGAAATCTTTTAATTTTGTGACTGCTTTCTCCATCTGCAGTGATCATAGAGCCCAAGAAAGTAAAATCTGTCACTGCTTCTATATCTTCCCCTTCTATTTGCCAGGAGGTGATCAGACCAGTGGTCATGATCTTAGTTTTTTTTTTTATGTTGAGTTTCAGACCACTTTTTGCACTCTTCTCTTTCACCCTTATTACAAGGTTCTTTAATTCCTCCTCACTTTCTGCCATCAGAGTGGTATCATCTGCATATTTTGAAAAGATTTTATCAAGGAATGCTTTATATTAGAATTAGTATTCCTTGTGGAATTGATGGAGCCTAAATCAATAGATGCCGCCAAAGATGGAGAAGCTCTATACAGTCAGCAAAAACAAGACCTGGAGCTGATCATCAGCTTCTTAGAGCAAAACCCAAGCTTAAACTGAAGAAACTAGGAAAAACCAGTGGGCTAGTCAGGTATAATCTAAACCAGATCCCTTATGAATACACAGTGGAAGTGAAGAACAGATTTAAGGAACTAGATATGGTGGACAGAGTGCCTGAACAATTATGGAGGGAGGCGTGTAACATTGTACAGGAGACAGCAACAAAAACCATCCCAAAGACAAGGAAATGCAAGTAAGCAAAGTGGCTGTCCAATGAGGCCTTACAAATAGCAGAGAAGAGAAGGGAAACAAAATGCAAGGGAGATAGGGAAAGTTACAGAAAATTGAATGCTGACTTCCAAAGAATAGAAGGAGAGACAAGAGGGACTTCTTAAATGAACAGTGCAAAGAAATAGAGGAAAATAATAGAAAGGGAAAACCCAGAGATCTGTTCAGGAAAATTAGAGCTATTAAAGGAACATTGTGTGCAAAGATGGACATGATAAAGGACAAAAATGATAGGGACCTCACAGAACCAGGAGACATCAAGAAGAGGTGGCAAGAATACACAGAGGAATTATACCAGAAAGATCTGGATATCCCGGACAGCTCAGATAGTGTGGTTGCTGACCTTGAGCCAGACATCCCGGAGAGTGAAGTCAAGTGGGCCTTAGAAAGCATTGCTAAAAACAAGGCCAGTGGAGGTGATGGCATTCCAGCTGAACTATTTAAAATCTGAAAAGATGACGCTGTCAAGGTGCTACACTCAATATGCCAACAAGTTTGGAAAACTCAGCAGTGGCCAGAGGATTGGAAAAGATCAGTCTACATACCAATCCCAAAGAAGGGCAGTGCCAAAGAATGCTCCAACTACTGTACAATTGCAC